TTCGCTGGGAAGACAAGAGAACAAATGCCAGTATTCTAAGGACACCAATCAGAAGCATCGAGGATGGCTTATTATCCATGAACAACTGATGTTGACTGGCTGGCGTTACCCGCATGGACGACAGTAGACTGCCAAGGCAGCTACTTTACAATCACCCAACGAATAGTAAACGTAACGCCGCCGGGCAATTGAAAAGGTATAAGGGAAGTCTTAAGACAAACCTGAAAATGTGCCAAATCGACCCCCTCACCTGGTAGACGATTATTCCACATCGTATCGCTTGGAGGAGCACCACACGAGAAGGTGTCAACACTTTCGAGTTCGCCCGACTTCAACCCGAGGCAGACAAGCGCCTTCGTCGGAAAGACGCTGCCACCGCCCCTCCTACAGTAGAAGAAGCCCTCCACATGTACAACGAATGTGAACGACGCTGCGGGCCCCGTATCGGCCTTTTTGGTCACGTTAATACTCACCAGCCTCGGTGAAATCCCTAATAACTCATATCATAGCTGGATGATCGTCATACTGGATTCCGAGTGACAGCAAAGTAGTATTAGCAGTAGTAGTAGTAGTAGTAGTAGTAGTAGTAGTAGTAGTAGTAGTAGTAGTAGTGTGTGTGTGTGTGTGTGTCCCCCATAATGGCCGGGGAAGACCCAGAATAAGTTCCTCTGCATGTTTCAACTTTACCATCAAGTTGAGACACAGCTGAAACACGCACGCAAAATAAAGGCTCATAAAAAAGAAGAAAAAACGTAATCTCTTTCCTTCTTTCTTTATTCCTTCTTTCGATTATTCATTTTTTAATCTCGTTATTTTTGTAATTGTTTTGTCCGAGTCTGTGTCTCTTAGCTTAGGTATTTATTTAGGTCAATTTTCGGTTTATCATTTTGTTTTACTTTGTGTGGTGGTGTGGTGGTGGTGTGGTGGGTGGTGGGTGGCGTGGTGGTGGTGGTGGTGGTGTGTGTGGTGGTATGGTGGTGTGTGATGGTGTGGTGGGTGGTGTGTGGGTGGTGGGATGGTGTGGTGGTGTGGTGGTGTGGTGGTGTGTGGTGGTGTGTGGTGGTGTGTGGGTGTGGTGGTGTGTGATGGTGTGTGGTGGTGGTGGTGGTGTGTGATGGTGGTGGTGTGTGGTGGTGTGTGGTGGTGTGTGTGTGGTGTGTGGTGGATGGTGGTGTGGTGGTGTGTGGTGGTGTGTGGGGATGGTGGTGGTATGGTGGTGTGATGGTGTGTGTGGTGGTGGGTGGTGTGTGGTGGGTGGGTGTGTGGTGGGTGGTGGGTGTGGGTGTGTGATGGTGTGGTGTGGTGTGGTGTGTGTGTGGTGGTGTGTGTGGTGTGATGTGGTGGTGTGTGGTGTGATGTTGGGTGTGTGGTGGTGGTGGTGTGGGTGTGTGGGTGGTGTGTGGTGGTGTGGTGTGGTGTGTGATGCTGGGTGTGGTGTGGGTGTGTTGGTGGTGTGGTGGTGTGTGTGGTGTGTGTGGTGGTGTGGGTGGGTGGTGTGGTGGTAGTGGTGGTGTGGTGGTGTGGTGGTGGTGTGGTGGTGTGTGGTGTGTGTGGTGGTGTGTGGTGATGTGTGTGTGGTGGTGTGATGGTGTTGGGGTGTGGTGGTGTGTGTGGTGTGTGGGTGTGATGGGTGTGTGGTGGTGTGGTGGGTGTGTGGTGGTGTGGTGGTGTGGTGGTGTATGCTGGGTGTGTGGTGTGTGTGGTGGTGTTGGGTGTGTGGTGTGTGTGGTGTGTGTGGTGGTGTGTGTGGTGGTGTGGTGTGGTGGGATGGTGTGTGGTGGTATTGTGGTGTGTGTGGTGGTATGGTGTGTGTTGTGTGATGCTGTGTGTGGTGGTGTGGTGGTGTGTGGTGGTCTGTGGTGTGTGGTGGTGTGGTGGTGTATTGTGTGGTGGTATGGGTGGTGTGTGTTGTGTGTGATGCTGGGTGTGTTGTGTGTGATGGTGTGTGGTGGTGGTGTAGGGTGTGGTGGGTAGATGGTGTGTGGTGGTATGGTGGTGTGTTGGTCTGTGGTGTGTGTGTGGTGGTGTGTGTGTGTGTGTGGTGGTGTGTGGTGGTCTGTGTGGTGGGTGTGGTGGTGTGGGTGTGGTGGTGTGTGTGTTGTGGTATGTGGTGGTCTGTGGTAGTGGTGGTGTTGGTATGTGGTGTGTAGTGGTATGTGGTGGTGTGTAGTGGTATGTGGTTGTATGTGGTCTGTGGTGATGTGTAGTGGTATGTGGTGGTATGTGGTCTGTGGAGGAGTGTATTGGTATATGATGGTGTGTAGTGATTTATGGATGTGTGTGGTGGTGTAAGGTGTGTGTGGTTGTGTGTGGAGGTGTGTGGTGGTGTGTGTTGGTGTGGAGTTATGGCAGGCAGGAGTCACCTTACCTGACCTCCACCTGGGAAAGTTAAAGTTGCGGGAGTCACCTGGTTGGGAGGTGGCTGGCTGGCTAGCTGACTGGCTGGCTGACTGGCTGGGCATAACTATATATATATGCAGTATAGTTTTTCTCCCGTTATAATCTCCTTCACTCATACATTTGCATGAATAGATGAATACATTAATGCATACACGTATACTTCTGCTCTAATTTTGCTTGTACACGAAACTAAAATAACGTACACCCACGGACGTCTTTACATTACTTACGTCGCCAGTACGAGCAGCTTTACATCGCCAGGCGTTCTTTTTCCTTTCGCAATTATACGCCAATGGAAACTGACACAGACGAGGAACATTAGATTGACTTTTGCCTTTCGAGTCGTTTTGTTTAAAGGGCTAATATTCAGCTCCTGCTCTCCTTCCTCCTCCTCCTCCTCCCTCTCCTTCCTCCTCCTCCTCCTCCCCCTCCTCGTCATCTCCTCTTCCTCTTAGCTTTTTTCCAACCTCTTCCCCATCACCGTCTCCTCCATACCCCATCCCCCTCACACCCCCATCAACTTCCCCTAACCCCCATCTCTCACTCCCATCTCCCCTAACCCTTCCACTGTCTCCTCATCTCCCCTTGACCCTCCTCCCTGACCTCACTAATATGTCTCCATCTCCCCCTCATCCTACCACTGATTACTTGAGGGTGAAATGGTCAGGGGTGCAGGAGGAAGGTGCTGCTGGGGGTCATACAGGGAATGAGTTGGGTGGGATTTACACAAGTGTACAGTAGTGCTCATGTGGCCAGGTTGTGACCTTCAGCTTGAGTGGTTTAGTGGAGCATGGATGGCTGATTATGGGACTCGTAAGTTTTGAAGGCGTTTTAACTCTTGTCCATAAGGGAGTTGAACGGGAATTTTGTTTAAGAAAATTAAAATTTTCATTAAAGAAAGCGGGAATTTTGCTTAAAGGAAACTTTAATTTTGGTGTTAAAGAAAGTGAGAATTACTTTGTTAAAGAAAACGGGATTATTTGTGAAAGAAAACGGGAGTTTTGTTGTAAAGAAAACGGATTTTTGTCAGTCGAGATTTCTTTAAGTAAATGGGATTTCTTTTTAAATATGACTATTCTTGTTCAAGAAAGTGTTTGTTTTTTTAGGTGGAAATATTTGTTAAAGAAATAGTGCAAAAAAATTGCTTTTTTTCAAACTTTTCCAACATTTTGTTCACTTTTTTCTCTTTTTTTAATCTTTTTTGCAACTTTTTTTTTCTATATATGAAAAAACAAACAAATAAAAGTTGCTTTTTTCCAAGAAATGTTACAAAAAGTAAATAATGCAAAACAATTGCAAAAAATGTTGTAATAAATATATTACAAAAAGTTATTGCAATTTTTTTAATGAATAAATATTGCAAAAAATTATGTTTTTTTTGGCATCAGACTTACCACCCCTCCCCTCCCCCAGATATACCCTCCCTCCCCTCCCCCAGATATACCCTCCCTCCCCTCCCCCAGATATACCCTCCCTCTTCTCCCCCAGATATACCCTCCCTCGCCCTCCCCAGATAGAACCTATCCTTATATATCCTAACCTAACCTAACCAATCGTATTAATAAGACTTACCCTACTGGTTACCTCACATTATCGACACAACATGATCAGGACGTAAGAGAAGATAACGTCTGCACTAACTTACCATAACACAGTACAACGACCACTAACTAGATGAGTATCAACTATAACCTTTTAAGACCAGCTAACTCTTAACTTTTTTTTATCGTCTGTAAATATTTGTTAATAACCTTCAAACAGTAACCCGCTTGACATTTACTATATATAAGCCCGAGTCTTTACTAAACGACAGAAGTCCTCCCGTCCCTCTCTCTCTACCTGGGAGGAAGTCAATGGCTTTGTCTCGTTAGATTAAGTATTGGTTCTGTTGCTGCTGCTGATCAGCCACGTCAGTGTTGCCATAACTCACCACCAATCCTCCACCTCTGATGACGTCAATAAAGTCCATAGTAACGGGGGTTCATCTCTATCGGGGATTTAGTCGTCAAAAAGTAACCATATTCACGCTATTTAGGATTTGTTTTGTGCCTATCACCAATGTATATATACTGTACAAAAACACAAATATATAAGGTTGTTTTCATACCATCACTTGCGTAAGAGCACATAGAATATATATATTTCTTATGGGAGGTGAGTACACAAGAACACTGTGCAGGAGATGACATAGTTTATCATTTAAATCAGTTCACATCCTTACAAGTGAAATTATAGGTGAGCGTATCATTAGTAATCCATTCTATCTCTCGTACCTGCTCGCCTCCTCTCCCCAGCTAGTCCCTTTCCCGCCACCTCTCCCCCGCCAGACCCCTCCCCACCTCCGCCCTCCTCTCTCCAACCAGTCCCCTTCCCATCTCCTCTCTCCTACCTCCAGCCAGTCCCCTCCCCGCCTCCTCCCTCCAGCCAGTCCCCTCCCGCCTCCTCCCTCCAGCCAGTCCCCTCCCGCCTCCTCCCTCCAGCCATTCCCCTCCCCACCTGCCGCCTCCTCCCTCCAGTCAGTCCACTCCCCACCACCCCTCTCATGCCAGTCCCCCCCTCCACCCTCACCTGTACATGAAAGAAGACGCTGAGCCACTCACCTTGAGACGCTTCGACGACAGAGTTGTTCTCGTAGTGTACACAAAGTAGACAATTCTCTATTTCTTTCAAAATATAAATCTTTTTCAAAGCTCTTACAAAAACTTCGATGATTAAAATAGTCGACTTTTTCTCGTATAACAAAAATAATTAATTCTTCCTATGTCTTTTCGTTTCTCAGTTATTTCTTATTTGCCTTTATCACCTCTACAAAGTTCTCTCGAGAGAAACAGCTTCTGTTGGAAGACTTGTCCGTGTTCGAGGAAAATATTGTGAGAGTTAGAGAGGAGGACCCGCTGCTTGTGTTGGTCGAGCAGAATATAACGAAGAGGAATAATAAAAGTTCAGTGAGAACAAGGAAGTAGACGGTGTTCAGAGCGGGTGTTGGTGAGAGCAGCGCTGAGCGAACACCCCACGAAGACTGCGTGGCCAGGGGGTTACGAGGTGTGGGTCAGGTGGGACGAGTCATATCCCCTCCTGACGGCGGGAACTGCAAGACCTCTTTACGACACCGCGCCCACAACAGTCGCCCCAGCGCAGGGACGTTTTCTTCGAGGGGGTGTTCTTCAGTCTAAACCCTAGGCCGCACATTTACCTTGACACACCAGAGCACAAGCAAAAAATTTAACATTCAGCAGGTGAGGACCGCGGGGTGGTGGCGGGGGCGCCGGGAGACGTTCACGGAGACACCACGCTCAACTGGAACACTGGAGCGACCATGACGGGGTAGTCTTCAAGTCCTGGAGCCTGGAATCAATGGCGCTGGCAGCCCTGCTAGCCTCACTTGTCAGAGGTATCTGGCGACCACAGGCGTTCGTCTCTTCTTCACGAGTTTCTCACCAGCTATGAACGTTCCCCGCTACTCCCTGGACGTCAAAGGCGCACCTTTTTCTCCGGAAAACGTGTAGGTGGCTTCTAGTGGCCCCTTGGCTGACCTGGATTCAAGGGTGCCGGTGCGTAGGTTCCCCTGGAAGGCCTGATCCACGCTCGTCCCGCGCCTGCCTTGCCCGCCAATCGACAACCACGCGCGATAACGGTGCCACCTAGCGGCCCCGCGCTCAACTATAAGTACAGGTGTACCGCCAACGCACACCGGGGAGGTGGCTCACTGTTGGCCAGCCCAGGATCGTTACCGTAGCCTCCGCCGCTGCACCTGCCTCCAGCCGCTCCCCCTCACACCCACTACCAACAAATTCGCCCCAGGGCCAATTCAGTCCTCGCGCTCTTTCCCTTCACCCCGAGAGAAAAGCAGATTGTAAACGGAGGCCAGGACTCTGTTGCAACTTAAAACGAAGAAGAAGATCTAACCGATCGATACAGGTCGTGCGGATGTGAAATTTCTGCGGCTCTTCTTCAGAAAGAGAAACGAAGGACGAGGGACGGCGCCATATTGATCTCGAAGGATGCAACCACTCAGCGGCGCGGGCTGGGCGGAGCTCGACGATAATTGGCCATCGGGACTTGAGGGGGCGTGGCCACAAGGAACAGGTTGAGGACAAGAAAGGTCTCACTTCCTACCAGCTCGAATTACACCAAAACAGCCGTGATGGATGGTGTATGACCCCCTGGGTAAATCATGGATCAAGAAGGGGTGCCACTATACACACACATAAAGGAACTAATGTAGGATAGATGGCCGATATGCCTTCGACCTATACTGTTCATACCAATAATATATTTTTTATATAATATTCTCGTTATTATAAACTGTAAAACATGCACGTCAATCGCCTCAACTTGATCAGTATAATGGTGTCTGGTTTTTATGTCCTACTTATTCTTAATAACAACAACATCCTCCTGACACACTAATGGACAACTAAATATAAACATTAACAATAATGAGAAAAAAAAAAAAAACAGTTCTCCCTGAATAGTTAACCTTGACGTGTAATTGAGTTACTCCCACACACGGTAGTTGCCAGTCAGTCTTTTAAGCAATTCCCGGCACATTGTCTGGGCGGCACCTGGGTCCTACCTGCCCGTAATAGAATCATTCATATCGTCTCCCCGCGGCCCCAAATGTCAGCATGGACGGCCCTGCCAGACGCACGATGCCCCTACTGCCACCATGACTCGGGGCACCCAACCTTACTGAGAAATAAAATTATTACATTAAAACCGGAAATTATCCTCTGAAGCTGGTGATTCCGACGTTAATTTTACTCTTTGGTTTACTAAGTGAAATGTGGATAGTAAAGCCCGTAGACTTGTACGTGTCACCCCGGGTTGCTACATGACCTTGTCAGTAGTACACACACTGTAACTACCGTAAACAAGATCAATCTATCCCGGCACAACGTACTGCCACTACAATGTTGTTCTTATATTATTTATGACTGTAATTATAAAAAAAATATTATACATCTAAATCTAATTACATTATTCGTTGCCTGTATCAACAAAGTACAGGTGACGAGAGAAGAAGCAGTGAGTATTACGGTAGTCGTCGTCCATTGATGTTATATTCCCGTAACTAAACCCTCAACTATCTGGACACTT